GTTGCTTTCACGTCCAAAGAGTATATCATTTCTATTTTTTTTCATTCTTCTTTTTTTCTTTGGCTCATCCCATGAATACAACTGGGGTGTAAGTTCCATGTAACTGCCCGTTGGGAGGGCATACTCTCACATATGCCCCAGATTCTGCATGCAGCTTCTTTCACGTCCCTAGGGTTGATCCCTTTTTTTTTTTTTTTTCGTTGTTCTTTTTTTTTTTTCCTTTTCTTTTCCGAAGAGTACCAGAAAAGAAAACACAATGGCACCCAGGCTGGGCAGATTTCAGTGCGCAGTGAAATCCAGGGTCGGCAAATACAGGCTCGGAGGTACTGGTGGTTTAAAGGGGGATAAAAAAACAAACTGGGTCGCATGTGTAAAGTGCATGCAGCTTGATGCGAAGTGTTTTGTTTGGCCAGTGAGAATTGAGAATTGATGCGAAGTGTTTTGTTTGGCCAGTGAACATTGAGAATTGGGTTCAATGCATCAGGTATAAAACCCGGCAGCATGATTGAGCCAGGTCCAGGCAACGTCCCAGGGAGTCCCACCCCAAAATCAGAAAAGTTGAGTAGAGCAGGAAAGCGGCATTCAGGAGGGTGTGGGTTTGATTCCCACGTCCTCCATCCAAAGCCCCATGGCCACCTGGTTGGTGGGTGGGCGTTGTATCCCCCTTCCTGCTGAGACCAGGTGTTAGGAGCCTAAGAGGGTTCTGCTCCCCGCACAGAGCAGTGTAGGAGTCGAGCGAACCCATAACTCTTAGTGTAGCTTTGTCGTAGCCGGTAGACTTAGGGCTTCGTGTGGCTGGCCTGTCCTTGCCGTAGTCTTCGACCCTAAGCTTGGGTGTAAAAAAAGAAGAAAGAAAAAAGAAAATCAGAAAGTTATGTCGGATACGATTGCTACACAAAGTTTCACAAACATCTTCTCTATACTCCTAAAGCAAGGAAAGGGCCCAGCGTGACGTGTCCCGCCGGGCCCAGCAAAAATCGAGCTGGAGGCCCCGGGACACAGGCGACCGAATAAAGGGGCGGTGTTTCGTGGCTGAATGGCAGGGCGGACAGAGACCGCGGCGCGAGGGACTTGGCCGTGGCGTTTCGCGGAGGGCATGGGCAAGGGGAAAAGGGTGGGCCAAGGTGCGAAAGCGCGGCGCGCGGAAATTGACCGTGGCGGTTCGCGGAGGCCCAGGCGTTCGGAGGTGCGGCGGGCCGATCGGGTGGAGCGAGGGCGGAGAGGGGCCGATAGTGTGGCTGGCCGGAGCGACGTGTCGGTCGGGGCGGGGCGGTTGGGTACACCGACAGAGAGAGAGAGACAGACAGACAGACAGACAGACAGACAGACAGACAGACAGACGGACGGACGGACGGACGGACGGACGGACGGACCGACCGACCGACCGACAGACAGACAGACAGACAGACAGACAGACAGACAGACAGACAGACAGACAGATTCTCGCGCCGCGCCGGGGGGGGGTTGGGAAGTGGCATGACGCGGTCGGACATATTCAACCTGGTACTGTATATTTCCATGTTCTAGCCGAAGATTCAACCAGGTAGTGTATGTTTCCATGTTCTAGCCGAAGATTCATTGCATGTTGCTCATCCTACCAATGGAAGTAGCATGGCGCGAGCCGCGAGGTCAGAGAGTTCTCGTCTCTCTCTCTCTCTCTCTCTCTCTCTCTCTCTCTCTCTCTCTCTCTCTCTCTCTCTCTCTCTCTCTCT